AATTAGGAGTACCCTTAACCGACGAGCATGTATGCGCAGGTGTATGGATGTGAAGGAGGCGAGAGAGGTGTGTCAGGATCGTGCCAAATGGAAATCTGTAGTCTCTGCCTACCCCTCTGGGTGACAGGCGTGAGTGTTTATGTTATGTTATGTTCGTGTACGTACCGCTTGTAGAATCTTGGATTTATGGGAGAACTAAGCAGGGCTTTCTCCTCAAAGTCTTCCATGAATATGTCGGCGACAATGGGAGATACAGGTGAGCCCATCGCCACACCATCTACTTGCTTGTAGAACTCCTCCTTCCGCAATAGGTAGCCAGATGTTAGGCAGTGTCTGAGTAATACTGCATATTCTACGGGCATGTTGTTTTCTTCCAGCCTTCTAGTTACAATTGAGATGCAGTCTTCAACAGGTAAGCATGTAAACCATGACTGCACATCAAAACTGACCATAGTTTCATTGTCTGCCAGATGTAGGTCTTTAATCTCGCTGACAAAATGGTAGGAATCCTTTATGTGTGCTCTTGTATGTCCCCTGAGCGGTGAGAGTATTTTCGCTAAGTGTTGAGCCAATCTGTAAGTTGGTGAATCGATTTGGCTCACTATGGGACGTAATGGAGCATTGGGCTTGTGTATTTTTGGTAACCCATACAACTTTGGTGATTTGGCGCACGTAGGTATTATCCATTTTATCCATATAAGAATTTGTTACACAATTCATTGTGTACTGACTGACCTGTTGAGAACACTAAAGCAACTTGTCTACCTGCCCTATTGTTATTGAACAATGAATATCATCTATCTCTCTCGTATAGTCTCCCTCTATCTATCTCTCTCTAACTTCTAAATTTTGCTAACTACGCACATCTCCAATTCAAGTTCTAAGAACTTGCAACAAAAACCTTTTTTGGCACATAGTGTAGTGTAGTGAAAGTGATTAACTAGCAACAAAAATTTATGTTCAAAATTTTGGTTCTTGTTTAGAAATAGTACGCTTTTTTGTGACTAGTTTTCCAAGAGTATTATACCATTTTAGAATCTTGGTTAGTTGCGTCAATTTAAAAAAAAACTTGCCATAGTAGTGTCAGTACTTTTTTTTACACCACGATGAGTGAAAGTGGACTGAAAGTAAAAAAATTTTGATTGATTTTTGTAAAAACTACATGTTTTCTGGGATTTATAAAGGTTGTGGTAGATAGCAGTACTACTAAGGTTGCCGATACAAAAAAAAAAATTAAAATGAGCTTATGGTAGTTAATCTAAAAATCTAAAAAAAATAAGTTACCATATCGGGGTATCGATTTTCGAAGAATTTAATTTTTTTTTTGTAATTTCATACACGATTTAGAATTGTTTTCCTTTTTATTTTTTCTCGAGTAGTCATGAGCGGGTCCACTCTCTGGTGCCCGTTTGTCGTTGAATTTTGGGAGATGTTGTATATGTGAGTTTGTACATGACATGGCAAACTATCGGACGAGCTTATGACCGGAAACAGTTAACTTGTATTTTTTGTGACTATTTCATCGACCGACACAACTGAGCAGTCAGAGACGGGGGTCCGCACTCCCCCCCCCCCCAATACCAAATCATAAACCATTCATCATCATCCTCACGTCATTGCCTTTCCCTTTTTAATTAGTAATAAACGCGCATAATAAATAATAAAAAGTTATCATTGCTTAGTATGTACCTACATAGAAATTTCCAAAAAAAAAAAGAATAAGACAATTATATTTTGGACACATCCGATTATTCTGTGATGTGTGATTAAAAAGGAAAGAATTTGGTGCATTTTATATACTTATCAAGAATCAACTGAGTTTCAGAAACACAAAAATAAGTTATAGAATTATTTTAGAATGCAGAAAACCACGTTCGATAAATTGTTACAAAAGCAGTGGCAGAAAATAAGAGATTAACATATTACACTTGTAACATATTAGATTGGCTGTAACTTTGACGTAAGAAATTAAAAACGAAATTCTGACTTGTTTATTTTATAAATGATTAATCACACACAAATTAAAAGAAATTGGAAAACCAGAACTGCATGCCTGCAACCGATGTTGAACCGAATCCAGAGGCTGAACTAGCAGCGGTAGAATAGCGTTATCGTTGCGCGTTGACAATAGCGAATCTCCATTACAACACAAAGAGCGTGAGTGAGCCGCCAGGAAAGAATTGCTGCCATGGCGGCTCGCACGCAGCTCGCGGCACGCGACGTCGCCGTGCGCGCTGTATCAACCGCCGTGAGCTACTGTTTTACACTGGTAATGTATTAGAGCATGGTCCATGCCGGCCGAGCCCTTCCATTCATGGTGCAACCACAATTTAGCTGCAGCCTGGTTCAATCATGTGTAAAGATACGGATACTGAAAAAGTCAATGTACAAAAATAACCCGCAGATTGACGCACGCACAAACTTTACGGTGGAAAGTCTGTCATTACGGACCCTGCCGTGGTACGTAGCGATATTTCAATGGGAACATTTACATTGCAACCAGCGAACTGCGCCACAATACAACTAACGAATATTTTAGAACAGAATGGAACATTCTGTATCTCATAAATTTGAAATAACAGTACGGTACGGTAATGTCATGGTATAAATAACTTTATACTATGGTAATGTAGGTCAAAAAGTTTTAAACCATTTAATTTTCACTAAAATAACTTTTATCTTATAATTCAATTTTATTCAACAACATTAATTTGTTTGATCAATCATTCTTAAAGTTCAATAAATATAATTAAAATTATTTTTAATTTGTTAGCCAATTAAATTTGTATGTTTGTTGCTATGTTATGTATGTTATTACTCAAAATAAATCCATAAATATTAGTTAAAATATTGTATATATTGTACAGATTTATATAAGTTTTGCATTTGTAGTGATTTGGCATTCATTATAATTTTGTCTATATTATATTTGTAGTTTGCTTTTTTAGTTATAATGAGGTACAGCTAAACGCGAAATAATGTTACTGTCAACAACAAAGATCAATATTTGTTTTTTCTACTTTTATTTACATTTAATGGGTTGGGGTGTAACAAAAATAGCGCACGCAAGTGTGGGAGACGCTCCACGGGCTTTACATGTACATTACATTTACATATTAAATGCACACCATTTTACACTCTTATTTAAGTATTGTACGAACATAATATTATTTCGGTATACTATAAATAATTTTGTTAGTCTAAACTGTCTTTCGTAGAATATAATATTAAATTGAAACTTTCTCTTTTATTTTAAATGGAAATTCCATTGACTAATATTCACTATCACTCCACATTCGACTGCAGCGTCAGCGCTCTATAGCTATATTCAATGCGGATGATATTTTCTTGCATATGCACTAGATCCTTCCAGTTAGTACAGTTGTTATCAATGAAAAGCTCAAAGGCTACGATTATGTGATTTCATTCGAAGCAAACTTGAACAAATGGTCAAGAAAACTGAAACCTACTTAAGACTATACACACATGCTTTTTCATAGAACAAAGGAGCACACAATCCACCTGATGGTAAGTGTGTATTTGTAAATCAAAATGCAGATTGCGTTGTCACCTCTAAAGAAACACTCACCGTAAGAAATACAACCAACGGGAACATCATTGAGCAAGTGTACATTTTGTATTATTTAAAGTGAGGTTAACTCGCGATAGATAGTTTACATATGTGAGATATTCTACGAATAACTTTATTATTTAACATTTAATTTTTGCATGAGTATCACTGTAGAGTGAAGGTAATAATATAGTATTTGTGTATTGGGCATGTTTTCACTTATTTTTTTTACTGTTGTAAACTTCATGGCTGGTGGGTTTTTTGGTAATATTTTACACTGACTAGGGCTGAGCAGTACATCTCCACTGGGAGATATAAATACATTTAGGTAAAGGCTGATTTACATTTCGAGAAGTACAGTAGCGAGTTAACTTGCAAATCTGGCGAGTTTATTAGAAAAAGTAAAGTAAACAGCCTATATACGTTCCACTGCTGGGCACAGGCCTCCTCTCATTTCTGAGAAGGTTTTAGGGCAAGGAATAGTCCGCCGCGCTGCCCCAATGCATGTTGGCGAACTTCACATGTCTTCGAAATATTTTTTTTTCTTATTTCTCAGACATGCCGGTTTCCTCACGATGTTTTCCTTCACTGCTGAACACGTGGTAAATCAGTACTTAAAATTGCAATTAACAATGTCATTGGTGCCGGCGGGAATCGAACCCGGTTTGCTCGCTATTACGAAATTTACATAAAGCGCTAACCATCTGAGCTACCACGGCTCCTAATTACGGCTTTAATTAGAAAGCAATATAGCAAGTAAACAATTAAGTTGAACGGCCGAGTTAAGTTGGAAGTGTTGTCTTCCCGCACGTGTCGCGCCGCCCGCAACTGAACTGGCCGCTCGTGTGAACGAACGAGATTAGTTTGCTTTCAGTGCATACGTCGGCAGGACGCAATATGTTAGCATTCGACCCTCAAAATAAATTTTTAACTAAATTCGCCACTAAGACATTTGTACGCTACTGTTCACTTAAGCGTTCACTGTCAAATGACTGTAACTAAAGTCGCTACTGTACTTGTTGGAGTGTAAACCGGCTACGAGTACACGCCAGCTACTTTTTCTACTCCAGCCTGTTGAACATAGGCTTGTCCAAACATTTCTACTCAGGGGGAATTTAGCCGCAGCAGCCACGCTAGGTAGGCGAGTTAAAAGCCAAGTAATTGCTATAAATATATACACTGTTGGATTAGGCCTCTTACGTCAAGAAAATTTAGCGTAATCACAGGCGCGAGGAGAATATGAGCTGATATTATAGTTTACACATAATCTGAAAAGGGATTGAAGGTAAGTGTGTATAGTACAGTAGAATAGCCTTAGTTGCAGTTAGAGACATCAGTACGTATGCGTGTGCGTGTGCGTGTGCGTGTGCGTGTGCGTGTGCGTGTGCGTGTGCGCGTGCATAGATCTGTAGCGTGTGCTTGTGTGCAGGCGGAGACCGCCGCGAGCGAGCCGGCCGGCGCGGGGAGTGCGGGGGGCGCGCAGGCGGCGCCGGCGGAGCCCTGCAGGTATGTTATTACTAGTTAACAAATATACCAGTCAATACAGGTGTCTTAAGCCTCATGTTCCGCTCAGAGTATCTTCTTGTGCTCAGTCCCGAATTTAGCAAAAAATATACACTGTTTTATCTAATCTAATTCTTGGATATTTACGTAAGAAAATCACAATAACTGTTAATTTAATCTGCGAAGAAAAAAGTATAGGATGACTGAGTAGGATTCGATAAAGGCTTTTAATATCCATATAAATTTCTTGTTGCATATTTTTATTGAGTATGTGATACTGATGATAATGATGATCTTTTATAATTATGTATTACAATAAAACACTGTCCTAATGAGTATGACTTTAATAGAACATTATTGACGAGGGAAAACTGGATAGGGAGTGTCCCTATCCAGTTTTCCCTCGATATTATATCATCATCATCATTACAACCCTTAACAAGTTCACTGCTAAATATAGGCCTCCCACAAAGAATGCCACAAAGCACCTGAGCTGAGCCACCTGAATCCATCTACTTCCTCCATGTCTTACGAGGTCGTACTCCATCTATTGGGGAGCGCTCTAAACTTCGCCTGCCAGTACGAAGCTACCACTCGAGCACCTTTTTTCCCCATCGGTTATTCGAGCTATGTGGCCAGCCCATTGCCACATCAGCTTACTAATCCGTTGATCTATGTCGGTTACTCGGGTTCTACTGCGGATATCCTCATTCCTAAGTTTATCACGCAGAGGAACCTCGAGCATAGCCTTCTCAATAGCTCCATAGCTCGCTGAGCTATTTTGAGCTTCCTCATACGGCTGGTAGGCCCACATCTCAGATCCACAGGTCATCACTAGCAACACGCACTGGTTGTACAATCTAGTTTTGAGATTTTGTGGTATGTCTGACGAGAAGATGTGTCGTAATCTCCCGAACACTGTCCAGCCGAGTTGAATTAGTCAAATGACCTCTCGGTCGAAGTCGGTGTCACTACTTGTTCCAGGTGAACATACTAGTCAAAAACTTCAAGCTTAGTACTCCCAGAAACCACCGGCATAAGTGTGACATGGACATTACGTATGATTTTCGTTTTATCCATGTTCTTCTTAAGACTTATCCGTTGGGAAACACTATTGAGATCATTGAGCATAGTGCTTAGGTCCTCCAGGGGATAGTCAGCGGATAGTAGTTAGGTACTCCAGACAATATAGTCCTTAAGGCAGAATCGCATGCCATAAGGCATAGTAGCACAGACCGCGGCCCGCGGGCCGCATGCGGCCCTCCGGTCGAATACTGGTGTCCCGCCGACAGCAAAAATAATACTCGCGTACATTCGAAAAATATTGAATTATATTCCAGAATAAAACCAAAAAAAAATATGTTCGAAAAGTAATTTGAATCTCGCGCGCGCGCTGTTAAGTGCGCTTATCTATGTAATGTTCGTGCTGATCTCGGTTAAATTCGTTTTCTTGAGGAACCGCCGCGGCCGGCGGCGCGGCGACGACGGCTTCGCGGTGTCGGCTTATCCACGGGTTATATTGTTAGAGCAAGCGAGATAGCAATAGTCCCGAATTCCCGATTGCTCGCGTAGGTAGATACACGAAGCTTCCAGAGTCGGTTTCATGATTTCTCCAGACAGTTTTCGATTCTATACGCGCGGTATAAAAGCCACGCTAACCGGCCGACAGTTCGGTTTTAATTTGAGTGAAGTGTCAATAGTTCTAGTGTAGATTTTAACTCGACTAGCCGGTGTCATATATTTTGATCCACATTCAACGTAGATTTTCTGTCAAGTGTCGTGTATAATTGTTTTGTGAAATCGTAAGTAAAACTCTGTTATTAATAAGTGTTTCCCTACCTATTTTATCAATTATTTTTGGTAATTTAAAAAAGGATGGGTAATTTAAGTAGGTACTGTAATTGTTTTTAGGTGCTGTGTTAATCCTAGCCACGATTAGAACACAACATGGACAAGCCAGGACCTAGTAAAAAACGTAAGATTAAAGATGAAAATCGGCAGTTTCAAGAAATTTGGCCTGATGATAAATGTATATATTAATAAATCATTCCCATAATATTTAGTATTATTTTTTATTTTGCCTTAAGTATCTGAATTTCAAACTCTGTAGAAAATGTGCCTCATAAAATGACTGACAATCACTAGAACATTTTACCTAGGCACTAGCGCCATCTAGTGTCGGGGACTAGAGCGAGGAGGGCTTCCTAGAAAATGTCAATCTTGATCTTTCGACCAACAGCGCCATCTAGTATCGAACAGAAGAATTAAGCTTTTAGAAGCCCCACACTCGAACTGAAAAAGCAATTTAATGGCCGGAGAGTCTTACTTTATAATAATCGTATTGTATGTTATATTTTAAGCTCTAAACTAATAAATAATATCGAATCCTCCACATGTTATTTGTCTTGGCGTTACGTACCCCTCTGTATCTGAAACGAATACGAATATGGCATATGATACCAAAGTAAAGTAAAGTAATAGCCTAATTACGCTTCACTGCTGGGCACATGTCTCCACTTAGGTTTTAGTTTTAGGGCAAGGAAATGTCCACCGCGTTGCCTCAATGCGTGTTGGCGAACTTTATATGCCTTCGAAATATTTTTTCTTCTTCCTTAGACATGTAGGTTTCCTCACGATGTTTCCTTTACCGCTGAGCACGTGGTTAATCGGCACATACGTAAAATTGCAATTAACAATTTAATTGGTGCCGGCGGAGATCGAACCCGGGTTGCGCGCGTACTAATAAAAATGGACGTGATAGAGTCACTTTGAAACTACGTCGTGGCTGCAGCTAATAGTGCCGTTTTCGTATCGTATTGACACGTTCACGTACCATTAGGGAAAAGACCACTCTCCCACAAAATACCATCTTAAAATATTAGCATAATGCTGCTTTTTTCGTATGTTGAGTAGATGTTTGGGCTTGTGGTAGTTATTTATTTAATAAAAGGGCAAAATTGTAAAAAATACAGTTTATTTTATCGCTAGAGCATATTACAATCGATTGGGACAAACGTTACAGTGAACGTGACTGTCCAGTGTTGCGATATAAATACTGTATAAAAATGCAATAGGAAACATCTAGCAATAAATAAATTATGCTTTAATATTTGTTATATTAAACAATAGAGAACCGGAGGCGTTTTTTTTGGTAAAGAGCCTTTTAATTCTTTATTGATAATGGATGTAGGTATGTGTGCGATATCTGGGTGGGCTGTTTGTTTACTTGTCGCCCGCAGAAGATTTGAAGGAAAGCAGCGTTGTAGAAGCTTGCCTTGTTACCCAGCATGCTGCGCCCGGGTATTGATTAGTTAGTGAACGCTAAGCAGATATCTTGCGCGGCTGCTGCTCCGCATCGACAGTCTGCGGCCGCGCTGCCGCCGCATTACCATGACGTATGTGGGCCGAGCAACCATTACCGTATCCAGAGTTATATTCTAAAGTAGTCGGGTCCCTTTGAAACGATCACCCGTACAGGGTACGAACATGAAATCCAAATCACCCTATAAAGTTACAACTTGCAATGTTGAGTAATATTTTGCCAATCGGCTTTCGAAATGTCTTTATTGAAATAAACTAAATATATTTTTTGTACCATGTGTTGTTTTATTATAGCATTATTAATGAATTAAGTCAAATTTTTAATCATTCTGATTTTGGGTTAATAACCCGACATCATGGGGGAATTCAGAGGTGGACTTGGCCCATCCCTCTGCATTGGCCAGAGCGAGTAAGAATTGAAATTGAAATTTTCAAAAATATTTAATATCATTTTACCAGTATATTGCAAGTTTTCGATTGCCGTAGTAATTCCGTAACTCATGGCACTTCAGAGTTTGTTACATTACCCCTACATCATCTGAGATACATTCATAAATAGTTAACTAAAATTGTCATACAACTTAAAGGGTATAACCTCGTAAGTAAAATGTTAGATTTGATGAGAGTTGTATATGTGCAGGCGCCTGGCGGAGAGTACGCCTGATCTAGTTTTGGATCTACCCGCTCGCGCCGCGCTCACAGCCGACACCTTCCTGCATAACCGCGATACCTTGAAGAAACGTCCCACGCACAGGTGCGTTACGCCTTGTCACACCACATCACATTAACATCACACACATTCTCTATTATCTACCTTGGAGTAATGTCTACTGTTTACCTAATACTCACCTCCATACATTCAATAAATGTCTTGCGTAAAGGAACCTATATTATATTAGATACAGTCTACATTTAATTATTTTTTTTTGGATTTTTTTCCACATACAAACAACCATTACAGGTTTAATAATCTAATGCGATAGTACATGCTAAAACTAATACAAAAAACAATACCAAAGAACAAACAACTACGCATAACAAATAATAAACAAGGCAGCCCTTGTGAATTCATTCAGAGTGCAACAGAATAGGTCCACCCGATCCGACAATTGATTCAAAAGGTGTGTGGCGCGAGTAAGCGGCGCCTCCCGCAGCCAGCTAGTGCGCGCACTCGGCTCCGCCAGCAGCCGCGGCTGCCGCCTCCGCTCCGCGTAGCGATCGGCACACAGAAGTAAATCTTCCTGAGCAACTCAGGGTTATTTACCTTGCCCCTTAAAAGACCAAACATATGCATGAGGATGTACTCAGTATCATGCGGAGCCCATACGGTTGCATTGCATTCGAGGTGGCTCCTTACTAAGGCATTATACAATACTCTAGTTACCCCAATGTTCCTAAAGCCGTGAGCTCTGCGTAAGATGAAACCCAGATTACGATATGCCTTCTTGCAGATTTTTTCGACATGTTCCTTTAATGTCTTAAAGTAAGTTGAACGCCTAAATCCCTAAGTTCACTTACTCTGGTCTCGCGAAAATGTTATTGTTGCGCACTTAGAAGTATTAAACTGTAAACAGTTTCTCTCACCCCAAGCCACCACTCTTTCGATATCACTCTGCAATCTCTTGCAGTCATCTCGATTTCCGATCTCCAGATAAAGTTTAAGGTCGTCTACGCACAACAGACATTTTGCCTCTTGCACTACCCCTGGAGCCGTGGTAGCTCAGTGGTTAACGCTCGCTGTAAATATAACAGAACGCGAGTAACCCGGGTTCGATCCTCGCCGGCACCAATGAAATTGTTAATTGCAATTTTAAGTGCTGATTTACCACGTGCTCGGCGGTGAAGGAAAACATCGTGAGGAAACCTGCATGTCTGAGGAATAAGAAAAAAAAAATATTTCGAAGACATGTGAAGTTCGTGAAGACACTTCCTTGCCCTAAACCCTCTCAGAAATGAGGGGAGGCCTGAGCCCAGCAGTGGGACGTATATAGGCTGTAACTTTACTTTACTTTAACTTTTACTACCCCTGGTCGATCATTTACCATCAAAATGAATTCAAGGGGCCCTAGGTTATTGCCCTGACTTATGCCCGACCTTGTATAATATGGCTGCGACACGTAACCAGCGTACTCCACACACTACTGCCTGTCTCTCTTATAGCACACGAAAAATTGTAAAAGTTTTGGAGTAAAGCCGAAACTCGCCAACTTTTTGAGCTACACATCATTGTCCACCAGATAAAACGCTTTTTTGAAATCAAAGTATGCAGCGTCAATTTGGTCCCCAGAAGCCACAGATATTGCTTCGTCCCGGGCGGAAGCCGTGCTGTGCGTCCGTTAACTGAGCGCTTACTTGTGAACTCCTACAATCTATTGTGAACCGCTGATTCAAAAACATTTGCCGGTGTTGAAACCACTGCCACAGGTCTATAACCTTCAACACTGGAAGACATCTTTCCCTTCGGTACCGGTATGACCCTCGTGGTTTTCCACATCTCTGGGAACACTACGGACTGTAAGAATAGATAGTATATGTGAAGAAGCGGCCCAGCCCCCGACAGTCACGAAAGAGAAAAGGCGGGATGCCATCAGGTTTCACGGAAGTCTTAGGTTTGAATCGTTGTAGCGCTCCCGTCCAGGTGCACCCTCACCCCCCGCACGCCACGCTCGCCACACTTGCGCTCACGTCCAGCTGCGGGCGCTCTATGCTATATACCGAGTGGAAGTATCACGCGAATTCTTTAACGCACTGATCTCCAGTCAAAGGCTCCCCGTTCTCTAAAATTATTTGCGGCTGTCTAGTCCCCCTTTTAGATTTAATATAATTCCAGAATGCTTTCGGTTCCCTCAACAGGTGATTTTGAACTCGGTCTCGATATTGTTCATGCGCATGTTTTATCATTTTTTTCAGTCGAGGCCTGCATTCGGCATACTGACTGTCTCGTCGACTCCATCGTTTTAAATTGCTTGTGTAAAAACGCTTTTAATTTTATTTCATTTGTGGTTAATTCGGCTGTATACCAGTCAGGGTAAACGTACTTAGGACTACTGGGTCTCCGTTTTTTCCTCGAAACACAGTCATCCAAATATTATTCTATATTCAAATATTATTTAAGTCTAAATTCCATATCGGGAACCAATCTATGGCTGCTATGGACGAATACAATAATAAGAAATCCGCTTTTTTTAAATTCCATTGTACAGAGCAAAACTCTCTGACTTCTTTATCATACGCCAGAGTAACCGCGCTGTGGGGCGGGGGCGGAAGGGGCCACGGGCCACACACCTTCCCCGCCAGCGCATGTGGTACGGGTCAGCTGGTACAAGCGGAGCAGCAGCGCTCACGCACACACTGTCCTCGTCATATGTACTCAGTACGAGATCTAAACAACGACCACTGCAGTTAATTACGCCGTTACTCTGATTAAATCCACAATAGCTCCTGAAATATTCGTAATAATGGGTGATATTTAAAGGACAAGAATGTAAATTGAAATCTCCTATTACTAATACCGCACCGTAAATATTACAATATTCTTCTATTGTTTGAAACATGATCATATAGTCACTTTCATTGATGTTAGGCGGGATGTAAATAACGCAACACAGAAACAGTAAACAGTTGCACTTACTAATTAAAAAACCTGAATTTCTATTATCCAGTCAGCTGGGATAGCCACTCGCCGCAGTTCGAACCGTTCGAACTAAACACGCGCCTCCCTGCGATCGATCGAGCGGATGGACGGAACCATCCGCTCGATCGCAACGAATTATATGATATCCGGATGGTATTCGTTCTGAATCGTGAATCGAGTCGTTGCACCCAGTGTCTGTTATCGCGAATAAATTCGCATCCGCAGTAGACACCATTAGGTTAATTTAATGCCTTTTCACATTCTCTGCTAGTCGTCCCTGGGCCTGGCCAATATTAAATATACATAAATAGTACATAAGGGTAATATCGTTACCCGATCAATATGGTCACTTTCTTATAACTCAAAAACTACAGCCTTGTTTACATAGATGGCTTTGTGGTAAGATAGCTCTTCATCGTTCAATCAAATAATAAAGGCTGGAAAAAGCGATGCTCTATCGATGCCGCTTTTGGTATATTATAGTAAATATTTTAGTCAAGTTTAGTATGGTGTAGTGTAGTTAGTTTTTTTTAAGTTGATTTTTTGAAGTGTTCCTAATTATTACCAGCTTGTTTGCAATTTTTTTCTTAATGTATTAGTTATAGTTATAAGACTTTGCGTTTTTGTCTCTGTCCATCTCCTGGTTTTCGTTTTATAGAGCGGCAAAGCTTAAGGTGACCATATTACCCTCACGTATCTTAGTTAAAATATTTACATAGTACGAGTATATATGTTTAATATAATATAATATAATATAATATGTACACGCACATATATAACTTTTATTGGTTGCATTCTTGATGTCATTGAAAAGGGTATTCTAAAGATATATAGTATGTACCGTAAAAGAGGATCTGAAAAAAAAAAATGATCTGTGCTGTAGAATACTAATCCTGATTATTTTACCGCCAAGCGAACGAAGAAAATGATAAACATTGTGGTGTGAAATTACAGGCAAACGTGTTCGGAGGGCGGCGCGGAGGCGCGCGAGGGCACTCCGCCGGAGGCAGGTGCGGCGCCCCCCTCCCCCGTGCCTGCACCCTCCCCATCCCCCGCGCCCGCACACGTGCCCTCCCCGCCGCATGGCAGCCCGGTGCCAGCGCGCAACACGCTGCGCGTGGCCGCCAAGTTCGCGGAGCTCACGCTGACGGGTGGCTCGCTCAAGCCGGCCCTGGCGGCCAAGCCCGCGCTGCTGCGCCGCCCCACGCCGCACCCGCACGCGCGCGCCGCGCCCGCCCAACCGCCCGCCCACGCGTCCGCCCCGCCCGCCGCTGACTCCGCACCCGCCGTCCCGGCTGACTGACCCGCACACTGTAGCGACCCATCGTGCCGCACAAACCACTCGATCGCCACCGCTCTGACAAACCAATTTAAAAATGCACAATAATGTGTTATGTAATAAAGTTAAAGATGGTGCCATTTTTGGGTGTGACTAAAATAAATGACTGAGTAGCAATCGTCACTCCTTAACAGTATACTCTCTTAAAATTAATCACATTTAGCTATTTAACTTACTATTGTAGTCCTGATGTGCAGTCATTGACGCGCATGCGCGTGGCGCTACCGTGACGTCACATCATTTGTTCAACAAGCTCCGCATTTGACTGTGAGACGCACACATTATTATTATATTTTTTGTATTAAGTCCCGAGAGGTCCTATTCTCAAGGTAAATGACGAAGAGGGAGATGCATCCTCGTACGTAATGTGATGCGACATTTTTATACTCTGTATTGTAGTAGCGAGTGTTGTATGTATAATATGTATACTAAGTACTATTATTTTTGTATGCGGCGCGCCGCACTATACAAATGTGTCCACTTCCTTTGGAAGAACATAATAAACCAGTATTACTCGCAACCGTTTCTCATTCTATTTATGTCCTATTTGTTGATACGTGTTCCTCGTAAATAATAATAATAAATTATTGTTATGCTCAGTAAGATATGAATTGACGTATGTAACAGTGGTAGAGCTACACGGCAGCTTTGCTGTTGCACGTATGGGCCGGCTCAAACCGGGGTGGTACCACGACATCACAGAATACCGGCGTGAAGTGGAAGCTCTGCTTCCGCGTCTCGTCTGGTGAGTATTGGTGGCCGGCGACCCAATTCTCCCCCTTAACATGGCAGCGGAATTAAGTGAAGATCTACCCTAGGAGGGTATCAGCACCCCTGAAGAATCTCTCGCTGAACATCCACGATCAAGTACTATAGGTCAGCCCATTGGGATAGGATGTGGTCTTTCTTTGCTTCCTACCCTTGGGGGCGGGTGTGCTTCTCGCCGGACGATCCCGACGTTGATGCTGATTCTGTCGTTGATGTGGTACTTCAGGGCATGGAACTTTTTATTCCTTCCTCTGTGGTGCTCATCGGAAGCAAATCTCAGCCAAGTTTTGGTCGCTTCTGTAAAATTGCTACTTTACGAGGCGCAGGTTCGACCGCACATGGAATACTGTTCCCATCTCTGAGCTGGGGCTCCCCAGTGCTAACTCCTTCCACTTAACCGCATCCAGCGCAGAGCAGCTCGAATCGTCGACGACCGAGTGCTTTCCGAACGGCTCGATTCACTGGCGCTGCGAAGAGATGTTGCATCTCTTTGCGTATTTTATCGCATCTATCACGGGGAGTGCTCTGAGGAATTGTTCGGATTAATCCCATCCGGAAAATTTCATGAACGCACTACGCGGCAAAACTCCCGATACCATCCACACCATCTGGATGCTTGGCGGTCCATCACTGTACGTTTCACAAGGAGTTTTCTTCCGCGTACGATCTTTCTGTGGAATAGTTTACCACCGGCGATTTTTCTGGACCGATACGACCCGGGGACCTTCAAGAAAGAAGCTTACTCCTTTCTAAAGGACCGGCAACGCACCCACAGTTGCCGGTTGCAGTTTTCATGGGCTGCGGTAGTCACTTAACATTAGGTGAACCTTATTCTATAAAAAAAAATGCTTGAAAAATTTTCAAAATTAAAATAAAATTATTGAATCACTTGAAGTAATCGGATAGCCCAAAGAATGAACTCAGACTCATTCCTCATCACATGTTCAATGTCAAGTATAATCCCCCCCTCCATCACCACAAAAAGAGGCAATAGAGGAAACTGATGATAACAAACTCAGGTCACACAGTTTGGTGTTGCAGCTACATATCTATCGCATATTAAATCCCGTGTAAAGTATTTAAATCGCTGGGTTTTGGTATATCTATTTACCCATTCTCTTGCATGGGGCAAGAATGCAAGAAACATAGCTTCCGATAGGTTGTGGTGTAGTGTAACCATATCGTTTATGGTAAGCGTAAAGTATTCGTCAAAGGTGCGAAACGTCTGGTACTGCGACCTCTAAAGCGTCGAGTATCATCTACTACTCAATAGCTAAAGAATCAAAGAATGCGTTGCGTTGAGCGAGGACTGTGACGCATCACGCGCTGCATAGGTTGAAGCGCTGCCATTTTTAACTCATTTCGTGACGTAACAGACTAACTAATAGATTTTACATACACGTTTTAAAGCAAAACACCGCAGTGTCTTCACCGCTGCATTCGAAGACGTTATCAAGCTACTGGACTAGAAAGGATACGGTATTAGTCAATGGCGAGTACATCATTCACCTTCGATTTGCTGACGATATAGTATAGTCCTTATGGCAGAATCGCTGGAGGACCTTAGCACTATGCTCAATGACCTCAATGATGTCTTCCAACGGATAGGTCTTAAGATGAACATGGACAAAACAAAGATCATGTTTAATGTCCGTGTCGCACCTATGCCGGTAATTGTTGGGAGCACTAAGCTCTAAGTTGTTGACGAGTACGTTTACCTGGGACAAATAGTCCGATTGGGTAAATCTAACTTCGACCGAGAGGTCAATCGACGGATTCAACTCGGCTGGGCAGCTTCTCGTCAGGTATACCTCAAAACCTGAAAACTAAGTTGTACAACCAATGCATGTTGCCAGTAATGAGTTACGGATCTGAGACGTGGTCCTTCACTGCTGGCCGTGTGAGGACTCTCAAGGTCGCTCAGCGAGTTATGGAGAGGGTTATGTTTGGGGTTTCCCTGCGTGCTAAACTTAGAAATGAGGATATTCGCAGTAGAACCAGAGTGACAGAGATAGCTCTACGAGTTAGTAAGCTGAAGTGGCAATGGGCCGGCCATATAGCTCGAAGATTCGATAATCGATGGGGAAAAACGTTCTCGAGTGGCAGCCTTATACCGGTAGGCGTAGTATAGGGTGACCCCCCACTAGATGGAGTGATGACCTGGTAAGATGTGCAGGAAGTCGATAGATGCAGGTGGCTTTCCTTGTGCCCCGTGTATCCTACACGAAATTTTGGGTATGAGAAAAGAAGTTGGAGCATCACTGAGTCAAGTGTATCGAAGTAAAAGGAGATAATACTGAAAAACAAGGGGATAATACTGAAAAAAAGGGTACTCGGCATTGTTGACAAAACGCATTGTTTAGCTCCGTTTCAAAAATTCTTTTTAATAGTTTAATTCGATTCTTGAGCAAATATTTTTGGGTAACAAGTTTTAGTGCAGTGCTAACTATCTTTACCATAGCTTATCTTTGAAAGGAAACATAGTATATTGAAGTAATAATTAAATAAATATAAGTGTTAGTGCAAATCTACTGTGTTTACTACCGTCCGTATAATTTGAGTGGTGAAACGCGTAAGCGACACGGCATACACGACGCTTGTGACTTCACGCCGAGTAACTAATTTCGCCTACAGTTAAGTGTTTCATTATTTATTATCTTCCTGTAATTAATCAGTGTTTGACTTCAAAACAAATAACGTTTTATTTTTCGTAATCAAAATGAACAACTGTAATGCATGCAAAAAGTATGTAAAAACCACAGAAAGTATAATTTGCACCCAAACAACGTGTAATAAGCTATATTATTATCTCTGTGTGGGTTTAAAGGCTGATAACTTCAAAAAAAAATACGTCCTGGAATTGTCGTAGTTGTAAAGCCAGACAACTGAAGGTAAACAATAGCAACACACCCGTAAGGGTTATGCAGTGCTCGGATGACGAGGATCGAGCGGAAAGCAGAAATGATTACGTAATGACTCGACGTCGTCGTCCGCGTTCTCCGGACTGCCTAAACGTCTTCAACTCTGAATTTGTTAACAAAATGCGCATAGAAATACTTGACATAATTCGGAATGAAGTGGCTGGTATTATTAAGGATCTAATATGTAAAGAATTCCGAGCTGTTAGGGATAATATTAGTGAATTAGAAAAATCAGTAAAATATGTCGGTGACAAGTATGATGATATAGTGAAGTCCCTGTCCATAGCAACCGAGGACACTAACTATTTAAAAACAGAAAACTCCTCTCTCCGTAGCGATCTTAAGGATATGCAAAAAAAAGATCTCGATAATGGAGCACGATTTTGCTAAGCAAAGAACAGTGGGCCCGTCAGCAAAATGTGGAAATTGTAGGAGTACCAGAAAAAAGCAACGAATGTCTCATGGACGTTCTTACAAAAATAGCAGAAAAAGCCGCCAAAAAAATATTTGAAACTGATGTCGACTTCGTTCACAGAGTGAAACCACAGCGCTCATCCAACAAGCAACCGCGCCCTATCATCGCGCGTTTCAGATCGCGGCTCAGTAAAGACACGTTTTTGTCTGCCGCGCGAAAATGTAGGGACTTATCATCAAAAGTTATATTGTCCACCGGCGACCCCAAAGTCATCTATGTGAACGAACACCTAACACCTCGTAACAAAAAACTTCTTCTTGAAGCAAAAACAAAAGCCAAAGAATCTGCTTATCGTTACGTATGGACAAAAAACTGTCGAATTTACGTACGACGCAACGACAGTTCACCTTCGCTGTTAATCTGCACCGCTTCAGATTTGAAAAAAATAGTTTAGTCTCACTTAGCTTATTAAGCCAACTATCTGTATTTTTATCATTTATTATCTTTTGGTTATTTAGCGTTTTGTAATCTTGTAATTAATTAAAATTAAAACTAAATCAAAGAATTATTTTCGAAATTTTATCTGCGTTCAAACACACACATACACATAAACATGAATTGAGTTTTTTTTTTTTTGTGTTTTATTTTTTTTTTGAATTTGTTCTAATATTTATTATATACATTTTTTTAAAGGTTTTTTTTTTCACTTTGTTCATTAAATCATGTCAAAACATATTATTATATGCATCACTACGTTTTACGTGGTAGAGCCGCATACTATTACTGCAGCATAGTTATATTAGTAGTATAGTTGTAGCACGAATGGGTCGGCTCGACCGGGGAAGGACCACGCTCTCACAGAATACCAGCGTGAAATAGTAGCATACTGCTGCTGTGTTTCATATGGTGAGTGTAGAGAACCGGAGACCCTTTTTACTGGAAACGAGGCATTCCATCTTAGTCCTCACGGGTGACAACGCATCTGCATTTTGATTCGTAATCGAGGATAGATGTAGATGTCTATGGGCCACAGCAACCACTTACCATCAGGTGGACTGTGTGCTCGTTTGTCACCCTATCCTATAAAAAAAAAAAAAAAAAAAACTAACAAACACACAATTTTTCACTAGTTGCGACTCTAATAAGCACACTTTATATATGCTTACTTACTACTATTTTAAAACAAAACAGTATATACTACTTAAATGTCTTAAGTTTAAAATTAACATATAATAAAATTAAACGAAATACTTTGAATCTGCTATACCAAAATGTAAGGGGTCTAAGAACAAAAACACAGGAGTTCTACACTAACATCTTGAACTGTAATAGTGACATAATAATAATCACAGAATCGTGGTTGCACGACGGTATTCTTGACGCCGAACTTTCCGACAGTAGTTACAATATCTTTCGCAGGGATCGCGGCGGGAATAGACGTGGTGGCGGCATCATGGGTCTGACTGCGGAACGGTTTTCTTCCGTCTCGGCCCGATTGATCACATTGTGACGGCCCTACCGTTATCTATGATACAAAAGTAATACTATAGAAGGTCTTTATGATGAATATGTATTACAATAGTAGGGTAGTAACCCTATATATTAATGACTTATGAAAGTAAGGTCTATGATACAAAAGCAATACTATAGAAGGTCTCTATGATGAATATGCATTACAATGGTAGGGTTGTGGGTTCGAATCCTATATATGAATGACTTATGGAATTAAGGTCTATGATACAAAAGCATTATTATTGAAGGTCTCCTTGATGCATAAGCATCGTATGGGGTGGTCGGGTGACCGACTGCTCCTAGTAACTGTAGCAAAATGACTAGTCCTTATTAGGGACTTGAAAAGGAATATTATGGTGGCGTGTGTGCTGCTTCACGAGCAATTGGTCCGAGGTAAACTTGGACTCGCAACCGATGTGTCCTAGACATATCATCTTAGTGCCGGTGGTAAACGGGTTTGTTGTAGCAATACGGCTTTCCCGTGGACATCGCACACCCATACCGTTTGTGGGCGACGTCGTAGCGCATAGCGATGCGTCGTCTATCTTTCGGATTAGGATGAGTGTGTTTGGTAGCACTTTTAAGTGTAACAGGCATACTCAACTTCATGTCTAGTGCATCAGCGCTATGATACGTGGAGTTTTGTTCATTGGCGTCTTAGTACCGTGCTACTATGATACGTTGGTGATATTTTTTAAATAACAACAATAAAAACTTTGTTACCAAAATCGATAGGGGTCATGTAGGTGTGTTGTGAGGGTGCGCCATCCGTATGATAGTTGCATTGATGCTTACTGCTACTTGCGGTGTTGCGTCTTGTGATGGATCTGCGGGTGTGCTGCGCCTGATTCGACGCATTCTTGTGGTTCTGGTCGATGGAGGTAAACAAATAACATCTTAGTGCCGGTGGTAAGCGGGTTTGTTGTAGCAATACGGCTTTCCCGTGGACATTGCACACCCATACCGTTTGTGGGCGACAACAAAAAAAAACTGCGGTTGCCAACCCGCTCGCCAAGCGTAGCAACTATGGCAATATACCCCCCATGAACAATTACACAAATAGACGGCCCCCAGTCCCCGTCAGCTCCGCTATTCCTGGCTACGGTGCGACCATGGTAACGGCGGATCAGGGCGTGCTAAGAATCTCCGGTGGAGGTTCGGTTGCCACCTACGACGACTCGACCTGGCAACATTTAACGCACGCACCCTGAGGACTGACGAGAAGATCCTGGAGCTGGAAGAAGAGATAGACAAGTTGCGCTGGAATATTATAAGATTATCCGAGTTCCGAAGAGAGAGGGAGGACACGGTGATTCTCGAATCCGAAAACTTGTTCTATCACCGGGAGGGCGACCATCTGTCCCAAGGAGGTGTCGGATTTATCGTCCACAAGTCTCTCGTCAACAACGTTGTAAAGATTGGGAGTGTGTCGACGAGGGTCGCGTACCTGATACTGAGAATCACCAAACGGTATTCGCTGAAGGTCATAGACGTTTACGCACCAACCTCGGCACATACCGATGAGGAGGTGGAGGAAATGTATGACGATATTTCCAAAGCCATTAATTCCTCCAAAACCCACTACACGGTGTTGATGGGAGACTTCAACGCAAAACTAGGCACAAGAGAAAACGGTGAGCTGAAGTTAGGGGAATTTGGAGTAGGGCAACGGAACCGAAGGGGCCAGCAGCTGGCCGATTTTATGGAGAAAGAAGGACTCTTTATGATGAACTCTTTCTTCCAGAAGCGGCCCCACAGGAAGTGGACCTGGTCGAGCCCCGACGGTTCGACAAAAAATGAGATTGACTTCATTATGACGACCAGACGCCAACTGTTCAGTGATGTCTCAGTGATCGCAAGGGTGAAAACTGGAAGCGATCACCGAATGGTTAGTGGCACACTGAACCTAAACGTTAAGTTGGAGAGGTCTCGTCTAATGAAGTCAACGCTCCGTCCCCCCTCGTGCTCTAATCCAGAATCCCGAAAACTTTCAGCTCGAGTTACGTAACCGCTTTCAGTGCCTACAAGATTGCAATGCAGTGGACGATATGAATGACAAGCTCGTGGAAACTGTCCATGCGATCGGAGCTAAGTTCTGCAAGACCCGCCGCAGAAGAACACAAAAACTCTCCGATCACACTCTTAATCTCATGGCTGTTAGACGGGAGATGAGGCTGTAATCGTTAACAGATTTGACAGCATACAGGCAACTAAACAGACAGATCTCCAAATGCATGCGGCGAGACTTGCGCAACTTTAATACTGCTCGTATTAAAGAAGCGATCGAGCGAAACCAGGGCTCCAAAGTCTTTGCCAGAGATCTGTCTGCCAGTAAGAGCCAACTGTCAAAGCTGAAGACTGAGTGTGGCAGCATCGTTTCCGGGACACCTGAGATTTTGAGTGAGATTGAGAGGTTCTATGGGCAGCTGTACACATCATCGTCGGAGCCACACGCAAGTGTGAGTAACGATCCAAGAGCAAGTCTTATCCGACACTATTCCGATGATATCCCGGACGTCAGTCTAAGCGAGATTAGAATGGCTCTCCAGCACCTTAAAAACGGCAGGGCCCCAGGCGAGGATGGAATTACAGCGGAGCTTCTGAAAGCGGGTGGAACACCGGTACTTGAAGTCCTTCAGAAGCTCTTCAATTCCGTCCTCCATGGTTGCACTACTCCAGAGGCGTGGAGTAGAAGTGCGATGGTCTTGTTCTTTAAGAAAGGCGACAACGCTGTCTTGAAGAACTACAGACCGATTTCCCTTCTGAGCAGCGTCTACGTGCTGTTTTCGAGAGTCTTTACGAATCGTCTCGCACGCAGACTCGACGACTTTCAGCCTCTCGAACAAGCCGGTTTCCGAAAAGGCTTCAGTACCATAGACCACATACATACCTTACGGCAGATTGTACAGAAGAATGAAGAGTACAATCTGCCACTTTGCCTGGCGTATGTGGACTATGAGAAAGCCTTTGATTCCGTCGAAATTTGTGCGGTGCTACAGTCCCTTCAGTGGTGCCAAGTTGACTGTCGGTATATCGAAGTGCTGAAGTGTTTGTACAGTAGGGCTACGATGGCTATCCGAGTATAGAACCAGAGCTCGAAACCTGTCCAACTACAGAGAGGTGTAAGACAGGTTGATGTTATATCCCGGAAACTCTTCACCGCTGCATTGGAAGACATTTTCAAGCTACTGGACTGAAAAGGATATGGTATTAACATCAATGGCGAGTACATCACTCACCTTCGATTTGCCGACGATATAGTCCTTATGGCAGAATCGCGGGAGGACTTAAGCACTATGCTCAATGACCTCAATAGTGCCTCCCAACGGATAGGTTTTCTTAAGATGAACATGGACAAAACAAAGATCTGTTAATGTCCATGTCACACCTATGCCGGTAGTTGTTGGGAGCACTATGCTCGAAGTTGTTGACGAGTACGTTTACCTGGGACAAATAGTCCGAC